CAGCAACAACAACAACAACAACACAGAATGATGAAATGTATACTTACAGTCATGGTGTTCAAATATTTTTCTTTTGGTTTAGCATTAACTCCAAGATTGCAAAGAAACTTAAGGTTGAAAATTCAGAAAGCAAGATACAAGTAAGGTAAGGGATGGGTTATTTTCAAATGACCTGTCTGGCCCTGCTCATGCAATCCCGAGCTGTAAAAATTCTCAAGTTTTGAACAAAGTGCCTGGTGGCATACATTTTTATACTCCTATTTGACTTTGAGATGGAAGTTGTGTCATCTCATTTTAAAGTGGTCACCATTAAAGAACCAAACTGTATTTTTCTCTGATCGAATGTTATAAATCTATATTTTCTCTCAGTAACAGGGCTCGAAATTGCGACTCACTGGTTGCCAATGTGACCAAAAATTGAGCACTGGCGATTCGCGTTTTGTCTGGTAACTAAAGAAAACCACGACACAACTTTTTCTATTAAATCTTTATACTAGGAAATCAATCGGGCATGATAGCTAGTATACAAATCACCTTTCCGTCCCCAGTCAAATGATTTCTGATTATTACAAGATAATCGAAAAAATTGAATGTATTTCGACACATTGATACTGCATTCACGGCGCGCCATATTGTTTCAGTGGCTTCTCCCGAAACTGGGATCACAGGCACCCTTCATCACCATGTGCTGTTCCATGTGCTGTTCATTAATTTTACTGTGAAAATGGCGGCAGATACAAATCAGTTGAATAATTTGGAGAAAGAAGTAGTGCTTTACAGCCTAAAATATCGTGTTCACAGTTAGGTAATTTTCCTGGGTTCCAGCTATCATCTACATCCCTGTAAGTGTTAATTGTGTTGTTTCCAATTGTTTTTGCTCTTCGATTGTGACTTTTCTTGCATGCAAAGTAAGGTATAAAGTTAAGTTGGCGACCAAACTTTACGATCTGGTGACCAAAATTTTTCCATTAGTCACCAGCTGGCTCCCGAACAAAAAAGTTAATTTCGAGCCCTGAGTAATCTCGAATTCCAAGACTTTTTCCAGTTAGCGTCAAATCAAACAAGAAGTAATCATAATTACAAGCTGAGGTTTCAAGCATCCAGTTGTAACTGTTACAAATATTCATTTTTTGTGAGAATTGTAAAAGAATGGAACGATTTACCTGAGTGGGTTGTAGGGGCGGGAAATCTTGCATGTTTTAAGCGTTCTTTAGGTTCATTT